AAAACATAAGATATTTTGTGATTTGTTTAAATTTGAATTTTATATTGCTTGAGAATTTCTTGTGTTTATATGGTTCATAATGAAATCATGTTTCCAAAAAAAACAAATGAAATCATGTTCTTAGCTTGTTTCAAACATAATGAGACATAGTTGAGTAACTTTTTAATATGCTAGTAATTTATGTTTCTATTGTCACTATAACAACTAGTCAATCAACCTACCCGTGCATTGCAAAGAAAAATGCTCTTCAAATGTACTCCGTAACTCATTTGATGAATAGTAATTGTTTTTGTATATATAATCAAATTAAAAATATAAAAATGTGTCGGAATGAAGTGATTAATAACCAATGCTTAAGATATACTACGTAGATATTAATTTGTTTTCCTTTCTGCTTCTACCTACCCCTCAAAGTGCTCTATTTAAAACAACCCAAGTATAGAGTACCAAACTTAGAAGCTATTCTCTTCGCCTGATCTGAATGTTTCTGATCTGAATTTTTTAAGTTATGATCTGATCTGATCTGAATTTTTCTGATCTGATCTGATCTGATCTGAATCTCTCTGATCTGATCTGATCTGATCTGAATCTTTCTGATCTGATTTGATCTGAATCTTTCTGATCTGATCTGAATGTTTCTGATCTGATCTGAATCCTTCTGATCTGATCTGATTTGAATATTTCTATGATTATAATTATAATTATAATTATAATTATAATTATAATTATAATTAAAATTATAATTAAAATTATAATTATAATTATAATTACAATTACAATTATAATTCTAATTATAATTACAATTACAATTATAATTATAATTCTAATTCTAATTCTAATTCTAATTACAATTATAATTATAATTATAATTCTAATTATAATTATAATTATAATTATTATAATTGCAATTACAAATATAATTTAAATAAAATTATAATTATAATCCTAACTATAAAAATAATAATAATAATAATAATAATAATAATAATAATAATAATAATAATTAAAATTAAATTTAAAATGAAAAAATTTATACTTATTACACTAATTATAAATATAGATATAATTATAATTGTAATTATATTTTTAATTATAATTACTTATATAATTATAATTGTAATTATAATTACAATATTTATCTCTATAATTGTAACTATAGTTATCAATATTATCATAATTACTCCGTAAAATAATTACAATAGTAATAATAATATAATAATATTAATAATTATAATAAGAATAATAATTATAATCATAAATTATAATTATAATATAATTATAATTATAATTATAATTATTATAATTATAATTAATAATAATTATAATTATATTAACATTAATTATAATATTATAATATAATAATAGTAATATAAATACAATTAATATTATAATAACGATATTATTATATTAATATTATTATGACAATAATATAATAATAATAATATGATTATTATTATTATAATTAGTATTATATTAGTATAATATTATATTATAATTATAATTATAATCATAATTATAATTATGATTGTAATTATAATTATAATTATTATAATTATAATTAATTACAATTATAATTATAAATATTTATAGATATAATTATAATAATTACAATTGATTATACTTATAATTATAAGAATTATAATTGTAGTTATAATTATAACTACATATAATTATAATATAATATTATAATAATATTAATCATATTATTATTATTATATTTTAATAATAATAATAATGATAATAATAATGATAATAATAATAATAATAATAATAATAATAATAGTAATAATAATAATAATAATAATAATAATAATAATAATAATAATAATAATAATAATAATAATAATAATAATAATAATAATAATAATAATAATAATAATAATAATAATAATAATAATAATAATAATAATAATAATAATAATAGTCTTCTTAATAATTACATTTATATTACTATTATTAGATTAAAATATTATAACTATTATTAATATCTTATTTTTTTATCATATTATTATTAATATTATTAATAATAATTATATAATAATAATAATAATCATAATTGTAATAACAATATTAATAATAATAATTAATATAATAATAAAAGTGATAAATCATGTTTGAACTTTTTCCATCTGATCTGATCTGAATGTTTCTGATCTGGTCTGATCTGATCTGAATCTTTCTGATCTGATCTGATCTGATCTGAATCTTTCTGATCTGATCTGATCTGATCTGAATTTTTCTGATCTGATCTGATCTGAATTTTTCTGATCTGATCTGATTTGAATAAAATAAAAATAAGCAATAAGTAATAAGAATAAAGGAGTGTTTGGGTTTGCTTAAAAAAAGCACTTTTCAGCTTTTGGCTTAAAAAAAGTTGAAAAGAGTGTTTTCAAATGACAGCTTCTACTTAAATTAATCACTTAAAAGCTAAAAGCTGGAAGCAGGTAGAAGGGTGCTTTAAACTGCTTCTCACTTTTTCTATTACACAAAAAGTACTTATTTTACCAAACACTACCAACTTTTACTTTTTCAGAATCACTTTTTTCTCAAACACTACCAACGTTTACTATTAATCACTTTTCCCAAAATCACTTTAAAAATCACTTTTTTAAAGTTGAAGCTATTGCAAACACTCCCTAAGACGAACAGAACAGCACCTTACTCTCGTTGTTATGTCGTGCAGTACTAAGATGATGCACATATAAAAATTTTGTTTGAATTTATGTATTTGTGTGTTAAGATGACACTTAAACCCTTCTTCGGATTCATTGGGAACGATACAATTACATAGCACTCTACACTACACTAGGTATGGAATTTCAAACAATATTGCATATAAAAATTGATTAAATTCTCTAATAATTGTGTTTCATATTCGGTTGACACGTTGAACAAATTAAACATCCAATTTCATTTCAAATTAATGAAAAAGTTAGAATATGTAACCGTTGAAATATGAGACCGATGGTATGGTATATAACTTGCAATTCAATTTACTTATGCCATTCTCTTTTTCATAACCCGCCAAATTAATTTGGTAGACGATGTGCGAATTATACGGAGTATTAAATCTGACACCAATTATCCGTTGACACAATCCGCAAAGCACGAATTGCCAAACACGTTAAAAAATATAATCATCATTTGCGAGATTAGTTATGCATGTAAACCAACATTGATATTATTTTTTTGTTCCTAATTCTTTCTTATACTATTTTAACAAATCAGACCAGACCAGTATTAGACACTTTTAAAATACAAAAACGCTAGTCATTCACCAGACCAAAACAATTCAAACAATACGAGACTTAAACAGATCAGACCATATCAAATTAGACTGCACCAATCCAGAAAATTTTACTACAATTAAAAACATCCTTATAGTCTACCTCCTCCAAAAACAACGGCCAGTTCAAAGTCGTACCACCATAGGGTGTAAGAATTGAGATATAAGTTGCATTGGTAATTTGGTTTTCAGTCACACTAGGCAAATGTGCAACTCATGTGGAATCAGGCGAGGGGTCATTCCATGACTAGGCATTGATCTATAAGTGATAACTCATTGTTATTTTTATTCCTTTAGTTTTAATTTGCATCTCGGTTTATCGTAGTAGGGCTGTAGTATGCATTTTTCTTTGTTTGTTCATTTTGCATCTGATAAAAGGTTCATATGTGCTTCAGATAGGAGAATAGACATTGAAGTGAATGAGCATACATATAATATACGGAGTATCATTTTTCAAAACGTTTCTCAAAGATTACCAACTTTTCCTACTAATCAATTTTAATGCAATATTTCAATTTTATTATTTGTCAAAAGTACAAATAAATACAAATACTGGATTAATCATTCCTTGACAAGTCATAGAAAAATGTACTATGTATATAGCTACTGGACAAAAAAATCAAATAGATATTATTTCAAACTGAAATCAAATTAGATAACATAAAAAATGACTAAGAAGTAGGACGTTGTTGAAATCACTTATCAATGTATAAGAATCACTATAAGAAATCACTTATCAAATTGAAGTCATTTTTTACAACTAAGGAGCACATTGCCACATTGGAATGTAAAAAATCACTTATCGATGTAAAAAATGACCAAGAAGTATGTACTACGTTGTTGAAATCACTTATCAATGAAAAATCAAATAGATATTATTTCAAATTGAAATCAAATTGGATAATGTAAAAAATGACTAAGAACTAACTAAGGAGCAAAAAAGAAAGAGAGGAAGGTACTAAGTAAGGATATACATCTAGATAACTCTTACTAGCCCGTCCATTCCACTCCTGGAAGGTAAGAGGCTGCCCATCATATGGGAAAGATTGCAATGACTCAGTCTCCAAATCGTAAAGAAATGCATTCCGATGTGCTCGGGAACGAATTAAAGCAACCGGAGTCTTCTTGTTGTTCATGAAAAGCAATCCTTTCAACACAATCCCGGATGATGACAATAACTTGCTGATAGAACAGCCACTAATTCTGTAGCAAAATATCCATTCTTGATCACTTAACATGTCAGACCAGCCATTATCCTCACAAGCATTTTGGAGCATGAAAACTCTCATGCCGCAGTCGCGTTCCATGCACCCGAACCATAGCGTGTCACCGTCGTCGATGGATGACCTCGCCATGGCTGTGGAGGTGTCGTTGACATTATAGATTCCATCGAAGCTCCGGATCTGGACGACCTCTTCACGTCTGGGACGGTAAAGCGCTAATGTTAATCTGTCACCGTACGCGTAGTACCAGTGAAAAACACCATTCAGCGCTACGGCAGGAAAGGACTGAAAGGTAGTTGTTAACACATGACTAGGGTCCCCGGTGGTGATCACTGACGGTTCGGTGTGGGCCCATAACCCGGTGGTGGAAGAGTAAGTCACGATCCGCAAACTGTCCTTTTCGGGTCGATCGAATTCACAATCAATTCGGATGACGGTGTACTTGGCTGCCAGTTCGGTGTTGTTCGCTTCACACATCAACCCGATGGATATGTTGGAGTTAACCTTGTTGTTTATAATTTCGTCATGTTTAATTTAGTTTATTTGGAGTCTTTGATGCATTTTGGACTAGAGTGTTAGTGCACGGCGGGATGAGTCATGCCAAGTAGTGTGCGTCGTGTGACACCGTGCATATGTTGTAGCGGTACTGAAGTGTGTGTGTGTGCCGTTGCATTAGTGTTAGTCTAATTTGGGTCAATTAGTTAAGTTGGTCAATTAAGTTATTCACATGCATGTAAATAGTTTGGGTACGCATGCATGGAGGTTGTGGAGTGAGTGGGTCTCATTGTGGAGTGGTGTAACTACTTTGTACGTGGGATGTTTTCTTTGTTTATAAATTGAAAATGTGTGCGTCAAAGTCATGTGGCTTTGAGCACCACAAAAAATAGCTACGTGAGTTCTTGTTTCTCTATACGTATGCATGCATAAGTCTTAGGAGTAACTTCAATTCGAGCTCCATTATGCTTTGAAAAACTAAAGCTACGTACGTAATTGTTTTTCTTTCAAAGCATTTCCAACATTTGGTATCAGAGCCATGGCCGGTGAAGGTTCGCGCACTCCGTCACGCTCGCCAGTACGACGTGGGCGGAGCCCGACGCGGCGAGGCGGCCGCGAGGTGGTGGTACAACAACGTGTCGTCCACCAGGCCAGCAGCACCGTTGTCTACCCGACGTTGACGGCGACAAACTATTTCGAGTGGGTGCTCATCATGAAGGTGAACATGGAGGCCCAAGGCGTGTGGGACGCTGTCGAGGGTGGCGGGAGCTTTAGCGAGGATAGGGTGGCGCTAGCGGCAATTCTGCGAGCCGTGCCACCGGAGATGCTCTCCACGCTTGCCGTGAAGGCGACGGCAAAAGAGGCATGGGACTCCATCAAGACCATGCGTGTGGGCGATGAGCGTGTCCGTGAGGCCAAGACACAAACTCTACTCAAGGAATTTGATTCCGTTCGCATGCGGAGCGGTGAGACGATCGACGACCTCGCCATGCGCATGAACGGACTCGCCAACAAGATTCGCACCCTCGGTGAGACCTTCGAGGAGGTGAAGGTCGTGAAGAAACTTCTTCGAATCGTGCCATCCAAGTACACCCAGGTAGCTATTGCAATTGAGCAACTTATGGATCTTAAAACCATGTCCATGGAGGAGCTTGCGGGAAGGCTCAAAACAATGGAGGATAGGAGTGATGCTGACGACGTCGCCGACAACAATGACCATGGGGGTGGAGGTCAATTGCTCCTCACGGAGGAGGAGTGGCTTTCTCGCTACCGTGGCCGGACCAGCAAGAAGAAAAGTACGTTTGACATTCGTAAGGTTCGGTGTTACAATTGTCAAGAGTATGGGCATTTCTCCAAGGATTGCACCGCACCAAGGAAGGAGCAGGCACATCTCGCCGTCATGACCGACGACGACGAGCCGGCGCTGCTGTGATGGTCTGCGAGGAGTTCAAAATAAATGAAAACAAGGTTAAGGGGGTGATTGTTGGAGTTAACCTTGTTGTTTATAATTTCGTCATGTTTAATTTAGTTTATTTGGACTCTTTGATGCATTTTGGACTAGAGTGTTAGTGCACGGCGGGATGAGTCATGCCAAGTAGTGTGCGTCGTGTGACACCGTGCATATGTTGTAGCGGTACTGAAGTGTGTGTGTGTGCCGTTGCATTAGTGTTAGTCTAATTTGGGTCAATTAGTTAAGTTGGTCAATTAAGTTATTCACATGCATGTAAATAGTTTGGGTACGCATGCATGGAGGTTGTGGAGTGAGTGGGTCTCATTGTGGAGTGGTGTAACTACTTTGTACGTGGGATGTTTTCTTTGTTTATAAATTGAAAATGTGTGCGTCAAAGTCATGTGGCTTTGAGCACCACAAAAAATAGCTACGTGAGTTCTTGTTTCTCTATACGTATGCATGCATAAGTCTTAGGAGTAACTTCAATTCGAGCTCCATTATGCTTTGAAAAACTAAAGCTACGTACGTAATTGTTTTTCTTTCAAAGCATTTCCAACAGGATACACATGTATTTACCGGCGGGGGCGGCGGTAAGGAGACCGATTTTTTCGTGAAGGGGTTCAGAACGCGGAGCTCGCCAAGGTGTCCACTGTGAGTGTAAGGCTGATAGAGGATCAAACCGTTAGAAGAATTGATGAACTTGCCTAGCTCTTGTTCTTGAGTCGGGCACTCGATTTTTCTACTGTCGGGAATGTCAAGAGGGATTATCTTGCATTTCACATTTGATTTCGTCGGCGGTATGGATTTAAAGACATATAACAACCCCACACCGCCGCCGCGCCGCTGCTGGCTGCCGTATCTCTGGATGAAAAAGGGGTGGGTAATCAAATCGTTCCATGATTTCGATACGATCCTGAATTTGTAAACTGATTTGGGAGGCAAACAAACTAGAATTCCTGTGATTATTTGGTCATCCATGGCAGATCTGCTTGCCCATAAAAGACTTGCAATTAGGAATAGAATTATTGATCATCCTTTTGGTTTGCTAAAAAAGACTACAATTCAGAATAAGATGGTAGTGTTGAGACATGGGACTCTGAACCAAAGCATATATGTAGTACTACGGCGATTTAAAATTCGGCGAAACCGGTAAAAGAGTCTAATATCGTAAATATGGTATAAAAAAAAAAAGTTGATTTTTTATAAATCAATAATTGTTTGATCACGTAAATTTGGTACAAAATTACGGAGTAATTTGTAAAGGATGGTTATTTGACCTCATATCTGGGTCTTGTAACGGGCTTTTGCGGCTGACCAGGTTTACTTGGTTCAGCATGTTTTTGTCCCGTTTTTGTGGATCAACTAACAACCATTTAATTAATACTACATCCGTCCCATTTATACCGAAGAGGGTGACATTATTATTAACAAAAGTGGGTTTTTGTGGTTGATATTAATTGATAAAGTAAGAATGATTTATAGTCATACAAACTTTGCCAAATATAGTATGAGACAATTTATGTGAGACTTCCCAAAAGGTAAAACGAGACAATATAAATGGGACGGAAGGAGTACATTAATAATAAAACCCAACATAGGTACATGGCGTACGTAGCAATACATACGAACTAAAAATCTTAAAAGTTATTTTAATTTTTAATATACGTAATTAAATCTTGAGTAAAAATATATACACCAATCAACTCCTGCTTCTTGGGCATATGTGAGTTATATACTAGTCTGCTTGAAATTATCATGAGACAATTATCTAACTAGGAGTAAAAAGTGGACATTAATTAAAATTATGACTACATTATTTTAATTTTCATAGTAGGACAACTTATGTCTGTTTATTTGGACAAATATACTTTTGTAATTTTTGAAATGTTTTAATTCATAATAAAATATTTAAAAATAATAAAAATACGTAGTTGTAAAAAAGTACTCCATATTAAAATATTTATAAAATAAAATTTAAAAAAAAAAGATATTGATTTTTTAAGAATAAAAAAAAGAAATACATTGCTGCCTCTGCCACCCCCCTGCACCACCAGCTCCGATCATCGGAGAAAAAATGTCAACGAGCATCAGTAATGTCATATTTATGGCAATTTCAATGAAAATTTTGACATTATCAAGAGTAATACTACATCCTTTCCACTAACATTGAGATAAGAAGATGTCTCACGGTTATTAAGAAAAATGAGTTTATGTGGTTGATATTGAATTGATAAAGTAAGAATAAAGTAAGAATGATTTAGAACCACACAAACTTTATCAAATTTAGTATGGCCCAATCTTAATGGAAATTTCCGAAAAGGTAAAATAAGACAATCTTATTGAGAAGTGGGGCGTATAATAATGTCATTTTACTGACATTTTAAGAAAAATGGCACCTTTTTCACCGATTAGAGGTGGTGGTTCTGGGAGGCGGTGGGAAAGGCACCCTTTTTATTCTATGGGATTTTATTAATTTTTAATTAATATTTTTATGAAAAAAAATTGTTTTTAGGGATTTTTATCTTATTAATATTTTATTAACTTTTTAATATTTTTTACTCTTTTATTACTTTTTACGATTTATTTATGAATTAAAATATTTCATTAGGAATTAATACCCTTAGGGTTATTTAGGTTAGAAAATTAGGGCTTGCTTTTTTTAATTAACTGACTCTAATATTTTTATGGTGACCGTCTCCCTACACTTCTTAGGGTTTTTTGTTCTGTCGAACTTCATTCGTGCGCCTTGGATCTTCATTCGTGTTTTAAACGTTTCACAATTTTAAAATACGGCATATATTACATGTGTTATATACTAATTTAATGATTAGAAGAAAGACTAATTCTGCATATGCACCACATTCTTCAACAGTTTAAAATGTACGAGATAGTTTTTTCAGATATATGACTTTGAATTCATATGTACATGATATTCATGTAATTTCCAATTGTATATTTGTATTTTTAACTAGTTTTTATTAATTCTAGTTGTGAAAATTACACACTTTTGGTGTAATACTTTATTTTTATTTTTTATTTGTAATTTAGTTAGATTAGGATTTTTCTGAGCTAAACAGGTCAAAGATCATCTAAGGAATCAAGATTGGACCTTAAAAGATCAAGGAAAGTGCAAGGAGACAAGAAAGATTTCGATTTGGAAAAAATACTCATGTACCCGGTCGGGTATTGCCTATACTCGATCGGGTAATTGCTTGATTCGACTGTCCAAATCAAATCCGAAGACAGATGATCGTGGGAGCAAATTTTCATAAAGATTTGTCACATACCCGATCGGGTATATACCCTTACCCGATCGGGTATGCCCAGAAAAATCACTTTCTGGGCAATTTCCTGAGATACCCGGTCGGGTATCCTATATACCCGGTCGGGTATCAGACCCTGCAGCTCCCAAAAGCCTATAAATACACCCCTTTCCTTCACAATAAAATCACTAATTCACATATACTTCTAAGCTCAGTTTAGACAAGTTCTTTCTTTATATTTTTATCATGTTTAGTCTCCAAATGAGGAGCTAAACTCTTCCATCTTGGTTTTGTTACTTTGAAGCTTAATGATTTGTAAGTTGTGAGTTATTTTCTTTAATCTTCTTCCTTGAATATTAATTACTTCCTATTCATATCCCATATTAATATATTGAGCATTACTTAAAGTATCAACTAGTCTTGTTCTATATATTAATTATTACTAGAATCAATCGGTTAATACGCTTGTTATTAATTCGGTTCTTTCAATGGTAGTAAACTTGGGTTGCTAATGCATGCTTCTCATGGTTAATAATCCAAGGGGAATCAATTATATTGATTAAACCAATAAACCGCTTGTGTTGAGGTTATCAATCTCAATCGTTTTCATCTTAAGTTTATTGCTACTATCAAGTTAATATACGGCGCTTGTCCTATATTGACTCGATAGTAAGTTTTGTTAATGAACGCTTCTCGTTATTGATAACTACCCTCGATGAACTGGATATACTCCTCGATTGAGTATTCGAGAGGAAGATAGTTAAAGATATAACCGGGATCGACGAACATTTCATTAAGTGGATAAAAGCAAAGCCAAGTATTCTTCTCATTAATTAAATCACATAACTCGTTCATCTTCGTGTTCAATTTTAATTAAATCACTCAAACCTAACCCCCCCCCCCCCTTTTGTTACTAGTTTATAAAGAGAGAAGTATTCCTTTCCCTGTGGATACGAACCTTACTTCAATATACTACGTATATTAGTTGTATTGTATTTATTTTGAGTGCACATCACGACAAAGTGCACGTCAAATTTGGCGCGGTTGCCGGGGAAAGGCAATTATTTTTATTTTTATTTTTTTTCAAAAAAAAAAAATAAAAAAAAAATTAAATAAATAAAATATAAAGAGTTCTTACTTTTTCTATTTCTGAGCTTACATGAGTATATGGTAAAAACTCGTTCTATAAACGAGCTTACTTACCAAACAAACCCCGAAATAGAATAAGCCTTCGAGAGGTTGAGAAATTTGTTTCCGCACACACCCTCGGAGGAATCCTCAAATGCTAGCTTGTTGGTCCCAAAATAAGGATGTATTGAACAACAGAATACGATCTATGACAATATAGGTAAGGTCTAGATAATGATATGATTAATCTGAGAGCAATAGAGCCTTACGCTATACTATCGAGAAGTATGAAAATCGTACTGTATTGCTGATTATTCTCGGTCCTGTACCACAAGTACGCGTATTTATAGGCGCATGTACAGGTACCGAGAATGGTAACCTAGAATTCTGGGCCTAGGCCTTTTTGGGCCTTAAACCCTTAGTTGGATTTATTTCATCATAAATACATTAAAACGTTAATCTATTCTAGATAAATAATCAAGACATCAGACAAGCTTGATCACAATTAATATTTTTCCTCAACAATCTCCCCCTTTGTGATCAAGTGCCGTCTTGCTTCTTCTTCTCTTCACTTTTGAGCTTTATAATAATTCTTTCTGAGATTAAGTGCGTGCTCATAGTTTCTGAGTGAATTTCTTCTATCAAGTTGCTTTTCGATGGCCTGTAGGATATTGTCAATTCTGTGTGGTTCCTTCTGGTCTCCTTCAGTGGCTTCAGTCGATTTCTGTCCAAGTTCTTGTTTCTTTGATCGGAGCTGCTCCTGGATGATCTTCAACGTTCCGTCACAATACTTGTTAATTTCATCCACGAACATTAGACGCTTTTCGTTGTTATGATTCAGATAGATGACTGATACTGGATTATCAAAGATATGATATGCTTCAAAGGATTCAAGGCCAGGTCTACTCAAGTCCGGTCTAGTAAGATTCACCTTTGAATAGTTGTGCTCTATGGTCATCTGGAGATCATGAGAGGCGTAGAACCGAACTTGTCTTGTCATGAATCTTTTTATCGCCTCGAAGCCTTCTTTAGCGAGTCTGTCTTTGTGAACTGGAAGCTCCCTGCACCTCATGAACATTTGATAAATATCATCCATGTGCAGTAGAAAGACGTCATTCTCTTGACAGGTGAACTCCGAGCCATCAGTACGTTGTAGACGAAAAATCATGAACTTAATTGTCTCTAGGTAATCTTCTGTGATTTCCAAGATTTTCAATATGGGACATCCACTTGTTGCAAGATTGTGATTTAGAACTTGTCGACGTTGCCCTGTGGATCTATGTCCTAGCATATACAGATTTCCTCCTCTGTATTTTCCTTTCAAGTGATTGATTCCTCGCATTTTTAATTCACTGAACTGCTTGACTTTTTCTGGTTGTCTCCAAATCTTCTCTCGAATTTCTTCAAGAAAGGGGGCTTTGATCCTTATAATTTCCCATTTTTCTTTAGCTGGTTTTGGTTCCTTGGGGTTTTCTTTTTGATTCTCCCCTTCCTTGAGTTCGTCTTTATCGAGTCCAATCATCATTGCATGGTATTTATTGAGAAACTCTCTGAGATGCCAGCTTCGACACATTTCGTATTGATCGGCTTCCACTCTAAGGTCATCCCACTCTGTCCATTTGCGGGGCCATTGATCATGAACTAGAAGATCTTCAAGCTCATCTTGTATTGGATT